TTTCCTTGCCTTTTTTTCAGTCAGAACCAGAGTTAAACGAACAGAAAATGCGTAAATATTATAGTGAATGTGTTAAGAAATATTCATCAGATTAACATGGAATGACCATTGTTTTGAAGGGTTTTCTGGCATTTTCTCATGTACTGACATGACATTTAAAGACATGATAGATGTTTTAATGGGGAAGAAAATCTTGCAGTTCACCCTTACTGAAGTGAATAAACACTGTGATGGAAAAATTACTAGTAGTAAATACTGAAATTTTCAGACAGTTATTTCCTTAGCAGCTGAAATAAAGTAATATTAGGAAATACTGTGTATGTTCTCATCCAAAATAGGATAGAAGGTTTGTGCCAAACAAGAAAAAAAATTTTTCTCTGTATATTATTTGTCTTAACTTTTAACCTTCACAATGTTCTAATGTGTGCTCGAGCCTCAGAGCATGGTCTGTGAAAAAGGTGTTGGAGCTTTCTGACAAGCTAGCAGTAATTCATCTTTGAAGGCTTCATAAAACTGCTTGGAGGAATTTTCTGTGTCTTATTTTTCTTGCAACTCCACACAAAGCAATAATGAGGAGACTGACACTGTGTTTGATGATGGTGAAAGCTTGTTCAATCCTTTTGGCAGCGTTTTGTTACCCTAATGCTACAGGAGGTACATGGTCTCACGAGCATGGCCAAGAGAAGAACATAATGGCTGCAGTGACTCTGAGTAGACAGGGTAGGAGGCATCCAATCTCTGCAGGATTTTACAAGCCTTATGCCAAGGATCAAACTGAAGAGAAATGTGAGTGGAGTACACAGTAGGAAACTCAGGATGGATAGAAAGTTGAGAGATGGATATTTTACTGTGACTGCCCAAGGACTTAAAATAGCTGTGCTGTAGGCCTAAAGTCTTCTGCTGTAGGGATTAAACAAGGGAGAAGCACAGGATGGCATGCACAGTAGCTGAATGGTGCTTTGGGAGGTGACATGAAATCCTATGGGGAAAAGTACAGATAAAAGTTTCTCAACACTGAATGCTGCTAAGAAACAGAGGCCAGTGTTGTACTGAAATGCTGTATATGCTAGCAGATCAAAGAACATAAGAGAGCAGATAATAAAATATAGGTAGTGAATAGATATATATTTACAGAGGACCTCAGCCATGCCAAGGTTAGAAATAGAGATGTTTATTGCTCAGACACTGGTCTGACAGGCTCAGCCTGTCCTCTGGCTAAAGGCAGGTCCATTCCAGGCCAAGCCCAGGGAGGAAAAAAAATCAGTATTAACCGAAACAAAAATTACTGGTTGTATGTATTTATTCTCACAAAATAATTACAGTTTGCTGTAGTATGTAGTTGAGTATCTTCATTGAGCTTAGAGTATGTATTCATCTGAAATACTTCACTTGTAACAAAGAGAACTTTTTTCCTATAAATAGTATTAAAAAAAAGTTATATCTGAAATACATATGTCACCCTTTGAGTCAAAAATTAAATCCAGATAGACCAAAGATGACATAGAGCATAGAGCATCCTCCTCCAATGCATTTAAGCAAATATCTTTTTGTTCTGAGTTAGAATGGTGACACCAAGGTGTTCACTTCATCTTTTGCACATAGCTGTTAAAAGTTTTACATCTATTTGTAGACTATACATAAAAATACTTGCTTCTCTCTGCTTACAAAACCCATTCTGTGGATTACACTCCCCCTGAGACGGGCAGAGTGGGAGGACTTGAGAAAGAGTACCGGTGCACATAAAGAGCCAGACATCATGGGCTCCTGGACTTTGTGGGCGTTCTATCTAGGATTTTTTTGGAGAACCCTGCAATTGAACTGTTGCTCTTATTCTCCCCCCACAAAGTGACCTGAGGCATTTTACTAGGGAATGTTGTGCACTTGTAGATTGTTCTCATGCTAGGAAAGGGTGCAAGGGAGTTTTTTTCTACAGCAGCAACCAGTGCAGCTGAGAAGCCTTTTGATTTCCCTTAGAGGGTTTCCCAGGGTGTGCTCCAGGCTAGAAGTAAACTGGGCAATATCTTCTTCCTCACCTCTGTGAGTTTTAGAGGAAAGCTGCTGCATAAACTCATCACATCATTTTGGGCTTGAACCTGCACAGCAAACTGCTCCGTATCATCCTCTTCATCCAGGACATAGCTACAAATAATATACCTTCATTTTATAGTCAGGACAGAGAGGAACAGAAAAATTAGATGCCAATACTGCATTAAAAATAGAACCCACATCTCTAAACTCCACAGCTAGTACTTTACCCTCAAGACAATCTTTTCTGTTCTGCACCACTACAGTGTGTTTACACCATCTGATCTGCACAATGTTATTTCAACCTCTTCCACAGATGCAAATAATTTTTCAAAATGCAAGCTGGTGGAGAATCACATCCTTGTTGTGCAACCAATTGTCACATTTTCCCCATGTTGCCTTTTTTTTTTTAAATCATGGAATCATATGCTTATTAGTTCCCCTTGCTTGTCTGCACAGTCATCAGGTGCTGTGATAAAGAAGAAAGAACATCCCTAAGTTATTTTTACCTGTGGACTGGGAAGCATTAATAATTTTTCAACTGTTAAATATTCATTCTTATTCATCCTTCTGGATGTTCATCTCATGCTGAGTGTTAATTTTGTCTGCTCTGTGAACAGATCTATGTACAGTTTGCCAAAATTTGAGGGCATGGCCAGGCACAGGTGAAAAGGGGTAAGAAGCCATAAGTCCTAGAGCACTTATTCAGCTCATAAGCATCCAGATTGCCCTGCTGCATATTATTGCATCTCCAGCTCTAGTGCCCTGGCTGCATGCATAGTGATACTTAACTCAAACCTGGCATAGTTATCTGGGTATGTTTACATACTGTAAGTAATATGCCTTATCTCACCTGAAGGACTCTTGAGAGAACTGAGTTACATGTGTGGTTACAGTGGAAGCATGTCTTAAACATACTTCCTGCAATGTTGCCACTCTCTCTGGTTCTCCATGTGATTATTGCAAGGAGTCTTGGGGTAAGGGTAGGGAATGGCTTTAGAGAAGGATCTTGGGGGATAGGGGGGCTAGATCTATCCTAGTATTCAAGTTTATGGCATTTATCAGTGTTGACAAATTTCCCAACAGTCCCCCAGCTCCCAGCAGGTGCATGCACACCCATGTTATGTGTATGTGGACATCACAGTCACTCTTTCCCCCCTGTCCCTCCCAACATCTCCACAGACCTATTTGCCCTATTCTGCACTCACCATCAGCAATGGGGAGCTGCTCAGCTGATGTGTCATTCCAGCAGTACAGTAGTCTCTGCCCTAAGAGAGTAGCAGACTGCACTTATCTACTACCTGAATCAATAGAGGTGACAAGCCTAGGACTAGAGTTTCAAGGACAAAAACTGGGACAAGTGGAGGGGCTGTCATAGGTAAAGGTCTTAATGGAGTAAGAGACTCAGGAAGACATAAGGGTAACCTCTTCCTTCTCCCAAGTCTTTTCTGCAGTGGCATATTGAAACACTTTAATATAAGGAGAAAGGGGCACATGCACAGAAAGAACATTTATCCTTCTGAGATCTCTTCTCTGCATGAATTCCCATCCAATCCCCGGTCTTAACCTACCATCTTCCTTATTCCAGGACTGGCAATCTTTCAACAAAGGAGGGGTAGGTTGTATTTTTCTTTCCCCAGTTAGCTATTAAGTGTGCCAATGGAAACTTGGCGGGAAGCTGAAGATGCTGCTTTTGCTTGTGATGGGAGGTCTCAGCTCCTGATGAATTTGGAGCTCCACAGGGGCCAGAAGCAAACATATGTCTCTTTGAAAGTGCCACAGCACTCTGACTGCCCAGACCTCCCATGTTCTGTGTGCTAAAGCTGACCTGGCCCCATCTCCTCTTTGCTGTTGTCTTCCTCTGCACTCTGCAGCTTGGCTATAGTTGGGCAAGTGGCCCTGGGAATTAAACTCCACAAAATACCAACCCCAGTACCCTGGCATACAGCAGAAGGAGACAGGCAGCTGGAACAGTGGGCCTGGGGTGTAGCCCCAGTCACTCATTGTGTGAGGCACACCTTTCTTTTTTCTGTTTATCCAAAACCGATTGTTATAAAACAGAGAGACACATGGGGAATATATATTCTCCAGAGAACAGATAAATACTAAGTGTCTGGGACAGCAAATGTTGGGACTGATTTTCTTACAGACTCCTTGAATAACTAAACCTACAGGAACACTGACATTTTGGGGATAAGCCAACCCCACCCCTCATAATTAGGGCAAAAGCCCTCTGTGAGTTGACAACCTCCCTATATTGGCAGAAACTCCTGTGTGTCAGGTACCAATTTATTCAAGGACCCAGAGACATGTTGATGTCACTGGAAATTGTGCAACATATACTTTGAAAACAGACTCTGAAGTAGCCCCTTAAAGGCAGATGAATTAGACTGTTTAATATATACTTTGATTTCTTGCTAGACCAAAGCTACACCGTATGTGCTTGGCTAGGTATGGGGACTTACTCTCATATGTGGATTTCTTCTTCTGTTTCCCCGAGGGAGCAGCTCTTTTGCGCACTTAAACAAGCTGGAAACAGTTGAAACTAAATCCCAGTATGTAATGTGAATCCTGTGTTTAGTGGATTTGACTTTTAAAAATGCAAATACACACAGGCCCTGATGACTTCAATAGCATTTATGGGTGCTTGGTGCTTGTATAAATGTCACACTATTTATAACATATTTCTGTGTCCTTTTTTTATATTCTCTGTTGGCCTGTCTCTTTTCCACTGTGGTATCTTTGACTGACATAGTCACATCAGGATGTAGCATGTGTTTGAATAATTAAAAAAATACAAATAAAAGTTATCTTTATTCTAGTCCATATTTTTCCATTGCTCAACCACCAAAGATAACAATACCATTTCACCACTGCTTTTTACATTCTATGGAAGAAAAATACTTTTAGTTTTGCAGTGGTTTATTAGACCTTCCAAGTCCAATTATTTGCCCCTAGAGTTTTGCCCCTAAGCTTTAGAAAATTGTTTCAGCTATATCCAAACTCATGCCAACTTCCTGGCTTCTTGGCCGCAACCCGTCAGTGAGCGCTCTACTAAGAACCACTTTGAGGCTTTCCTTGAACCTCTTCTTCTTGCTGCTTCCTACAAAGAAGTAAACAAGGGGGTTGATGCTACTGTTAACGGTGGAGAGAACGACGGTGACGTGGTTCTGCTGGCTGAGCAAAGATGACCAGTGGTGATAATTCAGAAGATACAACAGCCTCATAGGCATGGCAAAGATGAGGAAGACAATGACTGTGGCCACAATGATGATGTAGAGCTTTGACGAATGAGGTCTCAGGGAGTTACGATGAATCCTGATAACTAAGATCAGGCTGGACAGAATCATTAGAGGAATGAAGATCATGAAAGTCAGGATCCATGTGAAGATGAGCAGTGCTTGGCAATGGTTGCCGTTGTCGAATTTTTCCTTTGTTGAATCATCTTTGCATGTTAAATATTCGGCTACTGTCATCAGAAAAGACAGAGTCCACAGGATTGCACACACAATTGCCGATTGGTGCTGTGACCGGTGGCATCGGTACCAGATAGGGTAAACAATAGACAGACATCTCTCAATACTGATGGCTGTCAGGAGATAGAGACCAGTATTATAGCCAAGAAGGAAGATGATAGATAGTGTGGTGGTGATATAATAGTAAAAACCATATGCAAATCCAAAACCAGCAATGTACTCAATTGACAGAATAAACGTACAAAGCAGTAAGGAGATATCAGCAATGGACAGGTGTGTGATATATGCAGTGAATGGGTTTCTTTTGATCTGGAAGCAGAGGCACCAGAGGACAATTCCATTTTCACAAAAACCCAGGAAGGAGATGATCATAATTACCCAAAGTGGGGTCAATATCTCCCAGACCCTTTCCTGTGTAGAAATGTTTCTGTGCATTGAGATGTTCTCTGTGCCTTCGCTGGGATGAAACGTTATGTTTGACTCATCCATGGGGAAAGCTCAAGTTTGGATAGCACAGCTCTTCCTTCTGTAAATATGTATAAAAATATACTGTGAGCATTGTGTGCTCCTCCCCTCCCCCTTTTCGTTCTGTTTTGCGGACCCTCAATTTCTGGTTGTACTTGAAGGCCTTGGCAAAAGGAAAACCAGTTTTGATATACTGATGCTAGCTGAAACCCAGTTAGAACTACTTTTGGCAATCTTAAAGATCGCTAAGCCCATCATGCTAGAAGAAATCCTGAGCTTTCTTCTTTATAGGGGTCAGCATATGAGATTCTCTCAAAGAGTTCTTGGATAAGCAATGTCTCAATCGCATTGCAAAGTTTCATGATATAGTCACCACAAATAGTTTTGGTGGCTCTTCTTACAGCCCTAGATTGTTCCCAGAGAGGTTTATTCAGCTCTATTGAGGCTAATGGCACTAATTTTAAGTTAAACATATGTATTTCAGCTGAATTTGGCTCATATGTTTTTTGTTTAAAGAAAAAAATTGATACCGACATCAGTTTTCCAGAAAGGGATTTAATAAGTAAATCAAAATAGTATGCAGCTACTCAGCATTGTATTCCCCCCAAGTACAGAGGTGGAGGGAAGTTGAGAGAGCAATTTTTTACCCACTTAAAATGTCATTTATCACAACATAACGTAATTTAACCATGTTTACACACTCTGAACACTTAGCACAACTGCAGGTGTCTTATGAACATTATAAATCCAACCCATCATAAGGAGATGTCAATCACATCGTGTTCATCATCATCATCACAAGTTGTTCATGTTCCCTGCCATTCTTATAATGGATTTAACTGTTGCTTTGCTGAATGATAGGGCAAGTTCTCCTTTTCTATGTCTCCTTTTATCTCACAATGGAGAATTAGTAGCATTGGCTTCAGCTGATTTTCATACAAATATGTCATGTGCCTTTCCCTGTTAACTTCCCAGCTACCTCTGTGATGATACGCAGCCACATTTAAGACCCTTGCAGATTTACTGATGTTAAGAGGGAGTAATTGTTGACAATAAGCTTGCCTAGCTTACTTGGTTTATTCATATAAGCAACCTTGTTCATTAACATGCCATAATGAGAATTTACTTATATAAGAACATCAAATGCAAGGTAAAGAAGTCTTACTGGGGCACCTTTTGCAATGGTTATTTAAACAGAGCCATTCACCCCAGTCATAAATTTTCTCTCATAAGCCTTGCATTTCCTGGTTTCAAAACAGCTTCTTAAGATATCATAGTCTAAGAAAGAGCATTCATTAAACAACCTGGGAAGCCTTAGGGCTTGCTGGCATCTAAATCTCCACAAAACTGTTAATTGTGATCCCACCTGTATGTTGACCATGCCACCATCTCAGATAGTTGAAGAAAACAAACAACCTAGCTGGCCATGTGGAACAAGTAAATGCAGTGACTAGAATGAGTGGCAAGCCTCCCAAAACCAATGTTCTGCAAAAACTGCAGAGGGAAGGAGCTCAAACAGTGTGCTGCTGGAAGTATAGTAAAGCTTCACTGGAGAAAAGGAGAAGAGAAGCTATCTACTTCAAGAGTTAAAACAAATAAGAAAGGAAAAAAAGAATGAAAATACTAAAACAAAAAAAGACTAAAAAAAAAGACTCAAAGTATGAAAATACTCAAGAAAGTTCTTGGTTTCTATTACTGTATAAAAGGAGTTTTCCTCTGGATAGTAAAACAAAAAGAAAAAAGTTCTTGACTTACTAAGGTCATTCCCACATGAGAGCGTTCAGAGACAAGGACGGAAAGAACCCTCTCCTTCCGGATACATCCATGATCTGTTGAGATTTCCCTGAAGTTGAAGAACTTCCTTGAAGAAGTTGAAGGTTACCTTCTCCAACCATTTGCCTTTGGTAAGAGGGAGAACAAATAGTGACTGTGACCATGACTCCCTCAAAAAGAAGTGTGCAGTTCTCCCATTGCTCCAAAAGTCTGAGGCATGCCAAATAAAGGGTCCCAAGCTCATCATCTGAGGCTGAGCTTCAAATGGCATCACTCAGTAGCTGGCCAACTCATCTAGCTGAAAGCCTGGGAGTTAACTCTTGTGGGAACTGAATGGCAGTATATGGAAAGTTGTCCTGAGCTGCTACAATACCAAGAGACTTAGTTTAAACAAACAAACACAAAGTGAGTAGGAAATCTATTTGGGGATGTTAAAATCCAAGGGAAAAATCTCAATTTAGAACTGTGCCACCACATGCCATCTAAAAAAAATAAAAGTTGATCTGTAAATTTTTTTTTATAATTTTAATATGAGAGAACAGGAAAGTGAGAAGGACAGAGAAAGAGAATGAAAAAGAAAGAGAGAAGAAAGATAGAAGGTGAGGAAAAAAAAGAAAGAGAAGGAAAGAGACAAAGAAAAGAAAGAGAAATAAGGAGGAAATGAGGGAGGGAGGGAGGAAGGGGGGGAAGGAAGGAAGGAAGGAAGGAAGGAAGGAAGGAAGGAAAACTAGTGCAAGAAAGAAAGAAAGCACAGAGCAAAGAAAGTAGCCCATTGTTGAGTTAGTCTCATACATCCATTCATCTAGGTAAAAACTGTATCTAAAAAAAACAAAACAAAACAAAAAAAACCAAACACTGATCCAAACCAAAAAACGGTTCTTGAGATTTAAACAGTCTCCCCTGAAAAGTTCAAACAAGCCTAGGAGCAGACAAACTCTTTGAAAAATCCCCTGAGGATGTCCCCTGCTTTTGCCCCAAGTATTAGGTTGTTTTTATATTCAGATGTTAGCAGAACAAACATTCTTAGCCAAAAAAGGAGAGAGTTTGCTTGGTCTTCTCCTTTAGATGTTTCACTAAAACTACCAAATCCCCAAATGGGAAGAGCTACTAACTGGTGTGAGAAATAAATGACCCCATATGGAGGGTCAGAATAAAGTTAGGAAAGGAACAGAGTGAAAAAAACCCAACTTCTAATTGGTTTTTGTTGGCTTAAGTTGTAATCTACCTTACTTTTAACACCCATAGGACCAAAAATTTCAAGGACCAAGAAACAACTTTTAATTGCTTTTTGTTGGCTTAAGTTGTAATCTCCCTTATGTTCAACACCTATGGGACCAAAAATTTCAAGCTACTTCTGAAAAAAAAAACTTGTTCCTTTCCCCAAAAACGAAATATACATACGAGTAACATTTTAAGATTGACCAGTTTGCAGCCCACAGCGCAAACACAATCCACACCCAACTATGCCCCGCTCTCCGAGTCTCAATGGGCCGGCTGGTTTGTGAGACCTCCCTCGTGCACACAGCATCTCCTTCATGACTGGTCCCTGGACACCATCAGTCGCCATCTACATGGCCAGGGCAGCCGAGTGAAACCTGACCTTGAGGGGAATAGGTCACAAACACAGCTTATCCTTGGTGATTTCGGGAGTAACAGGAAGGGTGAATAGCACAGTGTGACTCCATGCCTGCTGACTGCTGCAGTGTTTCTATCAGATGCTGCCAAGAGATGGAGCGGCTATTTCTGAACCAGTTTAACTATTCAGATATTGACCAAGGGGGCTAAAATAGCAAAACATGGAACCTGAACAGAACTTGAGACTAGAAATTAGTATTGACAGTAAAGACATGATGGGCAACATGGATACTCTTTTAATTTCAATCTAAACTGAATATAGAGCAAGATATGAAGTAAATGATAATTTATCCTAAAAATTTTCTCTCAGATACTTACTTGGTTGGACAGAGCAGCTTTGCAGTAGATGTAAACTGAATGTACTAACACTTGAAAATACGTTCTATGTAGGAAGTTAGCAGTGTCATTTTTTTTTTTTTTGAGTCTTTGAATAATTTCATGTTCTTATATCTCCAGTTCCTGGAACCAGAAGGTAACCTGTAAAGAACTCACAATTCATTCATTAAACAGAACCCAACAACCTAGGATTTATAAACCAAATTAGAGAGGTTTATGTGGTTGATACAAGGGCCAGCATGTAAAAGAGCCCCTGTGTACCTAGGAGTCAGACCTCCTAACTATATACTTACATGAGCCATAACAAAAACCCTTCAGGGATGAGCTTGGTAGCACTTTCAGGCAGTGCAATTTTTCCTGATGGTCATTCAGTCATTACCACTTCACAAATGAAATTCATTCCATAATTATTCAGCTCAAACACAGGTTAGGATTTGGGCTTAGGTTTCAGAGTGTAGACTGAAGATCTGGGTGTAAACCACTAACAGAGAGCTGAGGGGCACACTGAAAAACAGAGGGGTTGTAAGATGGCCAAAGCCTAATCAGGGGGCTCTAGGGTGCCGTGGAGAGCAAACAGGGGCACACTGGGGACAAGCTGGAGAGGAACTTCTTGCAAGGGCATGTAGTGATAGGACAAGGAGAAATACCTTCAAACTGATAGGGTTTAGATTAGATATTAGGAAAAAATTCTTCACTGTAAGAGTGGTGAGGCAGTGGAATGGATTGCCCAGAGAAGCTGTGGATGCCCCATCCCTGGAAGCATTCCAGGCCAGGCTAGATGGGGCTTTAAGCAACCTGATCTAGTGGAAAGTGCCCTGCCCATGGCAGGGAGGTTGGAACTAGGTGATCTTTAAGGTCCCTTCCAACCCAAACCATACTGTGACTCTCAGAAATGCATGGGTTGTAAATGTCTTAAGAACCATTAAGTCTCACAGAGTCTGGAAGAGCCATTATGACTTACAGTTACTCCTCAATAAGTGATATGAGAATATCACTAAAGTAGGAGTTCGGCTTGGGGTAAATTTAGAGTTAAGGTTACCCTAACCCAAAACTCACCACAGAACTTGCTAGACATCTTTTATCCTACTTGTATCAGCCATGATGCTAGCACATGCCAGTTCCCTAAAGGGTGGTAATTGATGGATTGTGTTTTATAGGCAACAAGTGTGAGAACTGAATTTATTGTTAGTTTCTGCAAAGCAAGGTGAAAGTATGTGTCACCAGCAAGTTTTGAGGCCAGCAGGGATCATCTGTTCATAGCTAAAAGTAAGGTTGTGGTA